GGCAAGTTGAATCACTAAACATGTCTGTTTAGGATGTATTTGGTGCTGGAGATTGTATTACTTTTTATTTTTTTTGGATATAGAAGATCAGTGTCATTTTTGAAAACATTGTGGGATATATAATTTCTGTCAATAATTTTAGAAATATATTTTCATTGAAACATTAGAGGTAGAAACATTGAGTGTAAATAGAGTGAGCATCTTCATGAGTTAGGCTTGATTTTGATTTTTTTAAATATTTGTATATTTTGTGAAGTTTTTATTTAAATTTCAGATAGTTAACATACAGCATAGTAATAATTTCAGGTGTACAATATAGTGATTCAGCACTTCATACAACACCTAGTCCTCATCACAAGTGCACTCCTTAATCCACATCACTTAGTTAATCTATGCCCTCAGCCACCTCCCGCCTCTGGTAACACTGTTTCTTTATAGTTAAGAGTCTTTTCTTGGTTTGCCTCTCTTTCTCTCTCTTTGTGTTACTTAGTTTTTTTTCAACAACTTTTGTTAAAGTACAGAAGCTGTCATTTATATTTTTAAATGTGAAATTTGAATAATTTCTTATTTCAATATAAATTTTGGATGTTAAATGTTGAGAACAGTGCAGGGAAACCTTTCACTAACTTATATAACATCTTAATTTCTAGCTATATAGAAATAACCTCTCCACACATAAACACACAGCATGCATACACGCACATAGCGAATCTATTAATGTTGAACAACTAGGGCAAAAACAGAACTGTTACAAGACCATTTCTGTGTTTTCACCTGGTGTGTGTTGGGTTGTTACTAAGTAGTTATGCACATGTGATCAGCTGTTTATTTTTATACCATATAATTTTATAGATGTTCAGATATTGCTGTTATATATTTGAATATATTTCACCTAAAATTAGAGCACATAAACTTTTTTTTAATGCTTGTAGACATGAAATGATAAAATAGCCTTCTGTTGATAAGTATGATGTCTAGAATGCTGTGTATGTAATTATTTATAAAATACTTGTTATTTCTAGGTACATAGCCATTGCTGACAAACATACGTTTAAATATACTTTTAAAAATCAGTATAGTAATTAGATTCTCTGCATGTTCAGTGGTTGGTTGTGAGGGATATGGATGGAGGGGTGGATGTTTTCCAATCTCGTCTATAATGTATGATTTTTTTTAATTGTTAACTATTCTTTTTGGTTTAAAGAGATGGTGAACATCACATATATGTTGCAGTCATGCTATTGATAAAATGTAAGTTTGACATGGTTAGCATTTGCACATTATTCTAAGAATTCCGTATGGGTAACTCTTTGGTTTGTTAAAGAGTGGTATTTATAATGGCTACTTTATAACATTTGATTTAGGAAGTACATAGAATTGTTGATAAATATAATGACAGTGGGAAGAAACAGTTTTCTTTTGATACTGCTACCTTTGTGTAGAATTGCATGGATTGTTGAGATTTTTAAAGACAAATTATTTAAAAATTGAGTTAAAGGATTTTGAGCCCTATTTTTGTTAACATTAGTGTGCTTATACACATGTACATGAATGTATACAGTCAGAGAGGACAGAGTGGTCAAAAGTTTTTGTCTCCAGTTTTATTTAGAAGAAAAGTTAGACTGCAATAATTAAATTGTAACCACTTTATATAAAAATATTTCTGCCAATTTAAGGGACATGCAGGTATATCTTATTTTCTCAGATGTACTGAGGTTCTTGATGAAATTCATTTTGCTAAAGAACATTTTGTAGAATCTGACTCAGAAAATTCTGTGTATATGTGTTGTGTGGCAATATGACAACTTTGTAAATAAATAAGCAAGTGAAATATTTATTTTTAAAGATTTAATATTTCTAGATGTATTGAGTGTCACAGTATAATCTAAATGTTTTCATTGTAAATGTGTTAGGATTATTGTCTTTTAAAATCAGCACAGCAAAGACATTGATCATTTATGTACAGGCTCTTGGAGCTGTGCAACATTTATCTATTAATTTGGTTGTTAAGAGGAGAAATAGAATAGATTGTGCTTTATTCCACTCTTAGAGTAAAATAGTATGCCATTAAACTTACACCATGTAAATTCATTTGATGTTTCTGAATGTATTGTGACATATTTTATTAGGACTTTCCTGATGTATATACATCTTATTTTTATGTTAAGACTGTTTTTTTATAGCAGATTTAGGTTCACAGCAAAATTGAGGGCAAGGTACAAAGATTTGCTAAATAGTCCTAGCCCAACACTTGCATAATCTCCATCATTAACCATTCTGCACATGCATAATCACCCCCCATTATCAACATCCCTTACCAGACTGGTACATCTGTTAATACTGATGAATATTCATTGACATATCATTATAAGCCAAGGTCCATGTTTTGTTATGGCTAACTCTTGGTGTTATACATTTTGTGAGTTTGGACAAATGTATAATGCCCTGCATCCTTCATGGCATTATACAGACTATTTAATTTGTCCTAAAAATTCTCTATGCTTGACCTATTCATCCCTCTCCCATATTTGTCTTATTGTTGTCGTTTACGTTGGATATATAAATGACTTTCTTAAGGAGATTTTTATACTACCTCATGGAACAATATACAGTTCTGTATGTGTTCCTTTGGTTGCATGACAATATTCAAGACAACTTTGTAAATAATAGGCAGATACAGTTTTTTTTTTTTTTTTACTTTTTAACATCTAGTCTTTCTAGATGTGTAGAGTCTCACAAAGTATAATTTTGTAAATAATTCATTGTAAAATCTCATAGTCATTGTTATCAAGTGTTGTAATAGTAACAATTTTAGGTTTCTTGAGCTATACATATTTTGGTATCTGTTTATGGAGTTGTTAGGGGAAGGAGAAAGTTAGAAGGGTGTACTACCACTCTTGAATTCTCTCAGAGAAAATTTTACATTTTAATCACTGTTTAGTCCTTTTGTTTATTACACATTAAGAATCCAAAGTCATAATTTTATAGGTGTATTGCTGAAAGGGCATTATGTATTTAATCATAGAAAATATGCAACATAAGAAATTTTATTCTCTCTCTTAGAACTATTCAGTTTTCTATTTAACTGGACAACATGACAGCATTCAAGACAACTTTGTAAATAGCAGATGACTATATTATTTATAAATACCTAGTTTTTCCAGACATGAAATTTCACAATGTATACATTTATAAATATTACATTGTCAAATACCATAAATTGTTTTTTTTCTAAATATTTTCTTAGTGTAATAAGTAATAATTGTTCTTTTAAGGTTATGTAACATTTTGATGTTTGTTAGATAGGTTTTTGGGCAGAGGGATAGATAGATCATCAAATCCTCAGATTGCTTCCTTTTTCTTCAGATTGTTAGCTTCTCATATAGAAGAAAAGATTAGATTTTATACTTATAAAACAAACAAGGGGCTACTAGGTGGCTCAGTGGGTTAAGCCTCTGCCTTCGGCTCAAGTCATGATCTCAGGGCCCTGGGATTGAGCCCCACATCGCATCAGGCTTTCTGCTCAGCGGGGAACCTGCTTTCCCCTCTCTCTTCTGCCTGCCTCTCTGCCTACTTGTGATTTCTCTCTCTGTCAAATAAAAAAGTAAAATCTTAAAAAAAAATACTCAGAATGTATGTTATCCTTAGAATAAGGAAGACATGAGAAAGGGAATTGTTTAAAATCACAGATCTGTTCATAGTTAAATGATACTTGTATTGCTAAGTAATTGTTATTTTACTGTGTTATATAGATCTACTATGGCAAATTTATATGTATATATACATACACATGTATAATATAAATGTTAAACACCTGTATACAGTAAAATTAGTTTTAGGAGTATAAACCTGATATTCTCTTTCTCATTTATTACCATATTGCTTTCCATTTTATTTTTTTTGGAATTTATGGAAATATTTCAAATCTAAGCTTAAACATTTCTATAATTCCACCTCATGATATATCTAAATGTATATTATTTTTAATATAAAATGGTTAGCTCCTGTGTGTGTTTTTTGTTACCATGTATATATACATCTAAATGAAAAAAATTGCTGTGATTATGAATATTTTATTATTCTAAGAGCTTATCAAAAGTATCCAGTGTGTAGTTATATTTGTATGTTATGCATAGTCAAATGTCAAAAGTGTTACATCTTGGTAGTCTTCTAAGAAATAAAGAATATAAATGAAAATATAAATTAATATATTTTTTAACAGCAGTTTGGCAATAATAGTTGAAATTAAAGTATGTAAACATTTGAAGTGGTATAACTTGCTGCTGGGATTTTATCTATTCCGAAGTCTCAAATTTACAAAGAAGAAAGTATGCTATATATTGAGTATTAAATAGTTGGAGCATCTGAAATAATACATCCCTAAAGGATCATAATGGTTATATCTTATTCATCATATGAATATAATTTAAACACTGGAAGATATTCTGATATGAACGGGTGTTTTAAGTGGATATTTTTAATTATGTTATTTTTCGAACAAACATCAGTAGTGTGTTTACAGAGGTGTATCCATGTGCTTCTAGTTGTTCTGATGAAAGTGTTAATGTTTACTATTCCCAAGGAATGTAATTATTCTGCCATGATTTATAGAGTTAAGTAATGCTTAGTCATCAGAGTTAATATAATGGTGATTATTTAAGCATTTTTTGTAAGATTTTTTGTACATATTTTAGTTAAATGGTAAAACATTGTTAATTATCTGTATATTGCTACTTGACAATCTGAAATGAATATGTGAATTGTTGAATAGAAAGTTGTCTGGAAGATCATATGGCAAAAATTTAACATTACTATGTAGAGAGTTGGGAATGGAAGGGCTGCTTCTGCTTTTGGCATTTGAAATTGTGAAGATATTTTAAAAGGAACATTTAAACAACAAAAGGGGACTTAAAAGATACAACCAATTTGTGCCTTTCTGTATCCTTGCCTGTTGACATCTTGAGAGTATTGGGCTGTTATATTCAATTTTGTATTCCCAGTGGCCATTATGAATAGTTTGTGAGTGATCATGAAGAACGTGTGATTTAGAGACTAGTACAGCAGAGTTTTACACACTGAAACAGTATTGTGGGATACACGAAAAGAATATGGGAGAAGATGGGATATGAGGTAGGTGCTAAAAAAGTGTATTTGGGTTTACAAACACATGAATGATTAAAATTAACTGAAACTTTGTTATTGTATTATGTTAGTCACTACAAAATTATATCATTAGTTTTTATATAGTGTTCTACTATTCATAGTGTGTAACACCCCATGCTCCATGCAATACATGTCCTCCTTAATACTCACCACCAGGCTCACTCATCTTCCCTCCCCACTACCCTCTGAAAACCTCAGTTTGTTTCTCAGAGTCCACAGTCTCTCATGGTTCATCTCCCCTGCTGATTACCCCAATTGACTTTTCCTTTCCTTCTCCTAATGTCCTCCATGTTATTCCTTAAGTTCCACAAGTAAGTGAAACCCTGTAATAATTGACTTTCTCTGCTTGACTTATTTCAGTCAGCATAATCTCCTCCAGTCCCAACTGTGGTGATGGAATTTTCGGTATTTAGCCTTTCTGATGGCTGAGTAATATTCCATTGTATATATCGACCACATCTTCTGTATCCATTCGTCTGTTGAAAGCCGTCTTAGCTCTTGGCACAGTTTGGCTATTGTGGCCATTGCTGCTGTGAACACTGGGGTACATATGGCCTTCTTTTCACTACATCTGTATCCTTGGGGTAAATACCCAGGAGTGCAATGGCAGGGTCATAGAGTAGCTCTATTTTTAATTTATTGAGTAATCTCCACACTGTTGTCCGAAGTGGCTGCACCAGCTTGCATTCCCAACAACAATGTAAGAGGGTTCCCCTTTATCCACATCCTCTCCAACATTTGTCATTTCCTGTCTTGTTAATCTTTGATTTGAATTTCCCTGATGGCTAATAATGGTGAACATTTTTTCATATGTCTGCTAGCCATTTGTATGTCTATATTGGAGAAGTGTCTGCTCATTAGGGTAAATTTTCATAATTCACTGCTGTATTTGTGGTTACCAGCTAGATCATGTTGTTTGAGGGAGAGTTTATTGGAATAAGTTGGAAGTTACTCTTAATTAATGGGAGTAATTAGAGAATGGTTTATTCACTTTCTTTTGTGCTAGTGGCAGTCTGCCAGAAGGATTTCAAGTAGGATTTTACATTTTTTAATTTTCAGAATAAACATGAGAAACATTTCAATAAATTTGTGTTAAAATTTCACTGATAAGGTGAGAAAATTTTTAAAAAAGTTACTGTGCTATTAACTGCTTATTTATCTCTCTTAATTACTCCTGATAATTTTGTTGTCATCCTAACTTGTGTGTCCTGGTGTCTCACTTGTAACTGTCTATATTGTATCCTTTCTTATCAGAAGTACATGATGAAAAGAAGAGATTTATAGATAACCTGAGGACAACTGACATCAGGAATATACCTCATGCTATGGACTTCCTTAATGTAAAAGTCTTAACTGGGAACAATAGGTAAGAAGTTCTGGACCAAGAAGTAGTGTTTTAATACAAGGCTTTGGCAAGGCTCAGGAAAATATCACTGGGGCAGTCTTTGGAATATTGAACTGTGTCTGAGAATTAGTGAGAAAATCAATTATTTCCAAAGATAATTTTTGTTGAAGTACAGATGTGGATTAGATGTAGAATGTAGGAGATTACTTGTGTATTCTTTCAATTAATGACCTTATTTGTAATCAGATATCATGACATAATATTATAAAGGTAATGATCAATTGTTCATTAGTTGGACAGAATTTTTGCAGGTAAATTTTATAGTGTGTTAAAGGGAGAAGTTCATGGAAGCAAAATAAAGGGGAAACCTCTTGCACTGTTGGTGGGAATGTCAACTGGTTCAGTCACTGTGGAAACGTATGGAAGTTTCTCAGAAAGTTAAAAATATGATTTAGCTGTTGAACCATGAGGCATTTACCTAGAGAATACAAAAATACTAATTTAAAGTGATGCATGCACCGCAGTGTTTATAAAATGGTTGTCTATAATAGCCAAACTATGGAAATAGAACAAGTGTCCATCAGCTGGTGAATGGATAAGAAAAAGTGGTAAATAAACAATGGAATGTTACTCAGCCATAAAATAACAATGAAGCGGGGCGCCTGGGTGGCTCAGTGGTTAAAGCCTCTGCCTTCGGCTCAGGTCATGATTTCAGGGTCCTGGGATCGAGTTCCGCGTTGGGCTCTCTGCTCAGCAGGGAGCCTGCCTCCCCTCCTGTCTCTCTCTGCCTGCCTCTCTGCCTACTTGTGATCTGTCTGTCAAATAAATTAAAAAAAAAAATAACAATGAGGCTTTGCCATTTGCAGTGAGGTGGATTGCAGTCATATAGTTGTCAGTAAAGAAAGACAAATACCATATATTTCACACATGTGGAATTTAAGAAACAAACTAGCAAAGGAATGAAAAAGGCTGAGGCAAACCAAGAAACATTCTTAAGTACAGAGAACAATCTGATGGTTAACAGAGGGAAGTAAGTAGGAGGAATGGAGAAAATAGGTGATGGGGATTAAGGATGGCACTTGTGAAGAGCAAGGGGTGTTGTATGAAAGTGTTGAATCACTAAATTGTACATCTGAAACTAGTACACTGTATGTTAACTAACTGGAATTTAAAAAACTTAAAAGTATGGGTAAAGTAATGGCCAATGCTGAAGAGTTACATCAACTATGGGATTGATGATGACTTGTTTCTAAGAATTAAAGGAGTTATAAAACAGTTCAAGATGAGTATCCACTTAACCTGCTGCTTTAGCTATTCTATGAGAATGTTCTATACCTTACCTTACAGTGTTTCTTCTTTTCCTATCAGGAGGTGATAGTTCCATGAAAACACACTTCCGCCCTCCTGGTTTGTAATTGCAAGAATTGGTATCATCAGACCTCTCATTGGCAGTATTATTCATTCAAGGGTTCTTCACCTCTGATCTCTGGTTCCAGGAATACCCCTTGGAGAAATTACTGTAAGAACAGATAAGTGCTCATTTGATTCAGGAAGGGACACTTTGGTTAGACAGGAGCTAATATTATGCTTTTATTTTTTTTAATTTATTTATTTATTAGAGAGTGAGAGTGAGCACAGGCAGACAGAGTGGTAGGCAGAGGCAGAGGGAGAAGCAGGCTCCCTGCCGAGCAAGGCACCCGATGCGGGACTCGATCCCAGGATGCTGGGATCATGACCTGAGCCGAAGGCAGCCGCTTAACCAACTGAGCCACCCAGGTGTCCCAATATTATGCTTTTATTAAGATTAATGAATTTATGGTGATAGCTAGTGGGGACTGAGGTCTATTCAGGTTACATATTGTACTTCCTCCAAGAAGTCCTTAATATTCTATTTAGTAATGATTAATCCTAAGAAAAAAATACTTTATGATTAACGTCTTCACCTTTAAGGTTATTCTGGGTTAGGGTTAAGACTTCTTGGAGGAAGTGTCTACTCAAGAATTTTTTTTTAAAAGATTTTTATTTATTTATTTGACAGAAAGAGATTTCAAGTAGGCAGAGGAGATAGGAAGAGAGAGAGGAGGAAGCACGCTCCCTGTCAAGCAGAGAGCCTGATGTGGGGCTCGATCCTCAGACCCTGGGACCATGACCTGAGCCAAAGGCAGAGGCTTTAATCCACTGAGCCACCCAGGCACCCCAACTCAACAATTTTTTGATAGTCAGCTTGAATAATGGGTTAGGATCTAAATCTAAGGATTTATTTCTAAGTTAGAGCTAAGTTAGACCTAAGGATTTAAGATCTAAGTTCCATTATCTCTATATCTTACAGATACCATTTTTCTCACCAAACATATTGAGGTCCATTTGTTATTTTTTGGGAATTTTTTGGCGTTGTTACCCTGTGTACAGAAATGCATGTAGATTATGTCAAATAATTCTGTATGTGAATGAACAATCTAGGGATACAAGCAATCATTCAAATACATAGCTGAACAGAAACATAACATGAGAACTAGAAAGGTATGAGAAGAAAGAATACCAATAATTGGCTTTTTTAAGTTGACAATGTTACATCAGCTTCAGGTGTATCAGTAGTGAATAGTGATAGTGAATAGATAATTCTGTGCATTATGTAATTCTCAACACAGTGAGTGTAGTTATCATCCCCAGCCTTATTAGAAAATTCCAAAAGTAATTTTGATCCATCTGTTTTTTTCTTCACAATTTAATGGATGTTGCATTTCATTGTACATCATTTTATTAGCTCCTAGTGATAATTATGTGAAAGTATGTTTCTAACTTTTAACCATTCCCCAATGTGTCTCTCAGGTGTTGACTAAACAGAAAGACTGATGCTCTTGCTTCTGCCACCATCTTCAAATCCAAAAGACAGTCTTCATAATGTATGGAGACTTCTGTTTCATGTTTTGGAGTGGATACTCCTCGCAGATCAGAAAAAATGGACTGAGAAAACTCAAGTTTGAAAATTACCTAGAGTGTCATTGGAGGGAATTGTAACCAGGCATGTTGACTGTTTTCATAATTGACATTGGACTAAATCTCAGGAGCTTGAATGGTGGAGATGTTATTACCCAGAGAGGTTCAGTATGGTGTGATTGAAAGGCATCATTTCAGTATTCCCATTAGAATAAAGTACATGTATTTATAATTTTCACTTATTACAGGGTAAATTTAAAATTGATGGACAAAAAATTACCCTTTTCCAGATTTCAAAAGGCACAGAAATTTATCAAGGATAAACTTTTTACTTCTTAAATGCTTTTTTTCTCCTAATTCTACTCTCCAAAATTATCTACAGTTAATGGGAGTTTTGTGTTTATACTCTTCGGGTATATTGATGAACAAAATTTATGCTAGTTGTCTTTTGGGCCAATATATTAGCTACAAATTTTCTAGGCAGTTAATATGCTTTATTTAGAAATGATTTTTAACTTCTCTGGCTAATTTGTTGAAAATAGTCGTAGTATTTCCACCTTCTCAGAATTAAGTATACCCAAAATTTACATTCTGAGTCAAAAGTAAAAATTTTCCTAAAATGGTATAGATTGTCCTCATCAGTTTTTCTCCCACTATTTGTTTATGAGATTTCTGTTTTTTTTTTTATTTTTTATTTTTTATAAACATATATTTTTATCCCCAGGGGTACAGGTCTGTGAATCGCCAGGTTTACACACTTCACAGCACTCACCATAGCACATACCCTCCCCAATGTCCATAATCCCCCCCCCACCCCCCTCCCCCCATTAACCCTCAGGAGATTTCTGTTTTCTTAAATAGTACAAACATTACATTTCAGAGTTTTAATCTTTGATAATGTGGTGTTACCAAAAATTGCTTTTATTCTCTTACTGTTCAGTTCAGTCATCTTCATATATCCTTAAAACTTACTAGTCACTTGTTTTTTCATTTTCCTCTGTTGTTTTTTTTTTTCATTCCCCTCAGAATATTAGTGTTTTTGTAATGGTTTCTAAGAGATCATTTATGACTAAGTATGTTAGTATGTTAACCATTTGTCATGCATTGCAAATTACATACTATATATTCTCATCACCATTTTACTGTGATGTTTTGGTTGTACAAAAGTTGTGTTTTCAAATACAATGCTCTGCTTTATGCCTTTTGAATTTTGTGTTTTTATTCAGAGCTGTGTCCATCACTCTCATGCATTCTTTGTATTCTGTTTTTTGTCAGTCTGTCATTTCATTTTTTCCATTAATTGTTACTGTGGTTTTAAACCATTACCCAGTCAAATTATTTACCTTGACTTAAGCAGTTACCACTTAGCTAAATGCTACCATAGTTACTTAGAAATTCCCACATAGAATCATCTGCATCTCAATTTGTTTGCCTTACTGTCTTTTGATATTTTAAAATTACTGATGATTTTGTCTATTCCATTGAGATCTATCTCATTTTTCTTTTTTTTTTTTCAGAATATTCCCTCTCTATAGTCGCATTTTTTTCTGTCAATTGATGCTAAAAATTATTTTGCGAGTTGGAAAAAAAATGCAGTTTTAATTTCATTCGCACCAAATTTAATAGATTAATTAGGAGAGAATAGATGTCTTTAAAAGTGAGTCTTCCTATCAATCTGCAAGGTATGTCTGTCCTTTTTTTTTTTTTTTTTAATCAAATTGTTGGGTAACTGCGGGTGTGATTTTTTTAATTCATTCCCAGTCATTTCATAGTTTTGTTAGTGTAGTTATGGGAATAGTACAACTAGTTTATTTTAATAAAGAGCCATTTTTGTTTAGTTTCCTAGTGACATTTTGTTAAAATTCCAGAATTTTGCCTTTCTTTCTTAATTCATGGTTCTTATAGAAATATGGAAGCAGAAACAGCCCTCGCTTATTTGACAGTGAATATTAATCTTACTATTTTAAGGTTCATTTACTTACGGGTCATTTTAGGTAACTTTCCTATCCTGGGCATTTATGCAAAATTTGTTGACAGTTTAATAAAATGCTTTGTATTTGTCACGTATTATAGGTGATTATAGGTGATCGCACATGCCATTATAATTATTGATTAGGCTAAAAAGTAACTTCCTGAAAATGAACATTCCTGAGCTATACTTTGTGTATGTATGAATGTGGATGTCTATTTGTTGTGCATATATATCCGTAAATATTTCCCTATTGTTACAATTTTTCTTTGCAATTTCTGAAAATATCCTAAATAAATAGCTTATATTCTGCTTTTGTCAGGTTTTTGTATTTGGTTTACCTGTTCAATCAATATATTTGGAGTATTATTTTTTATCAACTGGAAACCAGAAGTATTAGCAATAATTTTTTTAATTTTTATTTTCAAATAACTTTCAGCGTACAAAAATGTATATTGTTCTCTACCTTCCTCTTATATTAACATCTTTCATTTGCATTATACAGTTACCTATACTAGGAAATTGGTATATTCCTGTTAACTGATGTTTTTATAATCCATTATTGAAAGTGGAATGCTACACTGCAGATAGTTGTCATAGTCTCCTTAATGCCCCTTTGCTTGAGGCAGATGCCCAGTTTTCTTTTATTTTCACAATGTTGATGATTTTCAAGAGTCTATAGAATATTTATTAACATAACTCCATATGGGTTTGTGTGATTTTTGTCATAGAAATTGAGGTTGTGCATAAGATTACTACAGAAATGGTACTCCCTTCTCAGTTCATCACTAGAAATCACATACTGCTGATACGCCTTGTGACTGGTGATGTTACTTTGATTACAGTGTTACGTAGCAATTATGTTACGGAAGATACTATAAATACTGTTATACTTATCTGCAAATTTTAGATTCTTGTTGCTTGTAATAATTAATACACAATGGTGTTTGACAAATTGTGGGGTTTTTTTTGACAAAACACTTTTTTCCTTTTAGTTTCAGAGGTAGAATTTAGTGGTTTGTCAGTTACATGTACCACCCAGTGCTCATTACATCTCGTGCCCTCCTTAATGCCCATCACCCAGTTACCCCATTCTCCAACCCAGCTCCCTTCCAGCAACACTCAGTTCATTTCTTAGAGTTAAGAGTCTCTTAGAGTTTGTCTCCCACCATGATTTTGTCTTATTTTAATTTTTCCTAACTTCCTCTATGTTCATGTTTTATTTCTTAAGTTACACATAAAAGTGAAATCATGATATTTGTGTTTCTTTGACTTTTACTTTGCTTAGCATAACACTTTCTAGTTACGTCCACATTGTTGCCAATCATGAAATTTCAATTTTATTATGGCTGAATAATTTTCCATTGTATATATGTACCACATCTTTATCTGTTCACCTGTTGATGGACATCTGGGCTCTTTCCATGTTTTGGATTTTGTGGACATTGTCACTATAAACATTGCAGTGTAGGTGTATTTTCAAATCTCTCTGTTTGTATCAATTAGATAAATACCTAATAGTCCTAATAGTCCCATTGCTGGGTCATAGTTCTATTTTTAACTTTTTGAGGAACCTCCATACTGTTTTCCAGAGTAGCTGCAACAGCTTGCATTCCCATCAACAGTAGGAACCCTTTTCTCCCCATCCTTGGGAACATCTGTCACTTCCTGACTTGTTAATTTTAGCCATTGTGATGGGAGGTGGTATCTCATTGTGGTTTTGATTTGTATTTCCATGATGCAGAGGGATGCTGGGCATTTTTTTCATGTTGGCCATTTACATATCTTCTTCAGAAAAATGTCTATTCATGTCTTCTGCCCATTTCTCGACTGGATTTTTTTGTTTGTTTGGGGTGTTGAGTTTGATAAGTTTTGTTTTTTTTTTAAGATTTTACTTATTTATTTGACAGACAGAGATCACAAGTAGGCAGAGAAGTAGGCAGAGAGAGAGGAGGAAGCAGGCTCCCTGCTGAGCAGAGGATCCTGATTTGGGACTAGATTCCAGGGCTCTGGGATCATGACTTGAGCTAAAGGCAGACACTTAACCACTGAACTACCCATGGGCCTGAACATAAGAATTTTTAAATTTGAATTCCTGTATAGTTAAGGTACAATGTTAAATTAGTTTCAAGTGTCCACATAGTGATTCAGGAATTCCATGTATCACCTAGCATTCATCACAAGTGCACTCAATTCCTATACCCCCCACATCATTTCTAAGACCCATTATTTTTTTTTTCTCTAGAGTTCAGAGGTTTGGTTTCTCTCTTCTGTTTGCTAGTTTGTTTCTTAAATTCCACCTATGAGTGAAAGAATGTAGTATTTGTTTTTTTATGACTGACTTATTTAACTTAATATAGTACTCTCAACCTCGATCTGTGTGGTTGCAAATGATAGTTTAATTATTTTTTTAATATTTTATTTATTTATTTGACAGAGAGAGATCACAAGTAGGCAGAGAGAGAGAGAGAGAGAGAGGAGGAAGCAGGCTTCCTGCTGAGCAGAGAGCCCAATGCAGGGCTCAATCCCAGGACCCTGGGATCATGACCTGAGCCGAAGGCAGAGGCTTTAACCCACTGAGCCACCCAGGTGCCCCTAATTATTTTTTATAACTGAGTTACATTCTGTCATATATATGATAGAAACACACACACATCTGTATCCATTCATCAGTCAGTGGACACATGGCTGTTTATATAACCTGCCTGTGTAAATAATGCTGCAATAAACTTAAGGGTGGATATAGTACTTTTAGTTAGTGCTTTTGTAATATTTTGGTAAATTTACAGTAGTGTGATTCATAGATCATAAGGTAGTTCTATTTTTAAAATTTTTTAATATTTCATTTATTTGATAGTATGCCAGAGAGGGAACATAAGCAGGGGGAATCAGAGAGGGAGAAGCAGGCTTCCCACTGAGGAGGGAGCCCAATGGAGTACCCTGGGATCATGACCTGAGCCAAAGGCAGACACTTAACAACTGAGCCACCCAAGGACCCCTATTTTTTAACTTCTTGAGGAATCTTCATACTGTTTTTCCAGAGTGTCTGCACCACTTTGCATTTCACCAAAAGGGCAAGAATGTTCTGTTTTATCCACATCTTCCCCAACCCTTGCTGTTTTTTATGTTGTTTATTTTAGCCATTCTGACCCGTGTGAGGTGATGCATTATTGTAATTTTGATTTGCATTTTCCTGATGATGAGTGAAAAGCATCTTTTCATGTGTCTGTTGGCCATCTGTATGTCTTTTTTAGAGAAATGTCTGTTCATGTCTTTGCTATTTATTATGATTTTTGGGTGTTTAGTTACATGACTATATATTTAGGATAATGAATTCTTCATCAGATGTGTCATTTGCAAATATATTTTTCCATTCATTAAGTTGCCAATTAGTTTGTTGATTATTTCCTTTACTGTATGGAAGCTTTCTATTTTTATTTTTTTATTTTTTTAAGAGCAGGAGAGTGAGAGTGAGTGGAAGGGAAATGGAGAGTGTGAGAGAGAGAATCTTAAGAAGGCTCCATGCTCAGCACAGATCTGATGTCTCTGAGACCATGACTTCAGGCAGAATTAGTAGTTGGAGGCTTAACCAACTGAGCCACATAGGCACCTGAGAAGCTTTTTATTTTAATGTGTTCCCAGTAGTGTATTCTTTCTTTTGATTCCCTTGCCTCAAGAGACTTTTCTAGAAAAACAGTTGC